GCCAGCCCTGTGCTAGGTAATGGGCACATTACCTTGAGGGAGAGGGAGAGACGCCGAGATTCACCCAACCTGCCATTGGCGCACAGGGACAGGCATTGTCAGGGGGCAGTGAGGCATCAGCCCCACACCACCCTGTTCACGGGATATAGACACAGACCCAGATCTGCGGTTGTTCACGGGCGGGGAGGTGACTGGAGGTTTCTGAGAAGGCATAACTGGGGAGAGGGCTTGACTGGCCTTGGGGACCCGGGCAGGGCTCCAGTGGTCCGAAGGAGGGGGCCAGGCTGCCTGCCTCCCATTCTCCCCGCCTCGGAGCCAGGGAGGGGATTTTTGCTAAAACACTGCTTGGGTCATGCCATTTGCTGGCTCAGAAACTTGCACTGCTTTTTGCAGCCTCTCCTGTAACAGCCAAATTCTTTGTAATTGGCCCGAACATACAGTGATTGTACTGGATGGCTTGGAAGGTCATTTACAAGCCCGAGTCTGTGATTATATAATTTCGCTGCAATAGTTTTACTTTCCGCAGTTTTCCTACACGCCTCATTTTTCGACCTCCTGGCTGTGCCGATATGGCACCATTCTCCGGGAATGCAGGCAGCTGCCCTCCCCCATTAAATTTTACCTGTCTTCAAGTTTTCTGTGAAAAAGTCACATCACTTCAGACCAAAATAATCCCTTTCTGTTGGTCTCTGAACCTTCAGAGCGATTACTATGCACAGGATTCGTTAGGCAGATGGTCACGCAGCCCCTCAACACACTCTTCTGTGATTTGAACCTTGTGTTGCGTGTGCAGTGGACAAGGACAGAAGAATACACGCAAAACAAAATTGTGCTAAGTGGCAACACGGCTTTCTTTTTCTTTGAATGTCTTCCAGTGTGCTTTTATTTTTACAGAAATTGAAATTTCTTGTTAGATGCTTCTAAAACCGTTACCTCTCAAAGCATTAAACTAGTAAACCCAGCTTGGCTTTAGGTGTTTTAGCGTTTCTGGAGGGGCTTCCAAAGCGCCTCGTTTATAGTAGGGATTTGTGTGATCAACAACAGACACGCACACTTAAGCGGTCCGGTGATTATATTCCACATTTGAAACAGAGGTACTCTGGGAGGTGCCGGGGGCGGGGCTTTGCATTCTGTCCTCACATACTTATTCCTACACAGCGTGTTCTCTGTTGGTTGCGTTTTGTGCGTGCACCACACCACCCACAGTAGATAAACTGTAGGCCTCTGATGACAAGACCCACGCCTCGGTCCCATTTCTGTCTCCTGCAGGGCGCCCTGCAGGTAGCTAGTGCCCTCTCCCCTTTGACTCACGTCAGCTGAAAATGTCACACGTGGGTCTGTTTTACAGGATCGCAGACCCGTGACCAGGGCTACGTCCGAAGGCTTGAACTCACCTGCGAGTCCTTGTCAGATTTCCCACGAACACTCATTTTTTAAGGAGTATATTGGAATACTTTCAGCTCAGTCAGCATTGCCTATGTAAGAGTTATGAGAAAGGGTGTTTTCTAACGAGGCGGCTTATTTTTTTCTCATGTTACTTACGGAGTAACCTCAAGTGCCTAAATGCATCATTAACGACGTCTCTGAATGTATGGGGCCAGTCACTACAGAAAGAGTATCCTCTAGATGGGAGGTAAAGGTACTTAGTGTTTGTTCTAACACTCGGATTTGAGGCTGGCTGTAAAATGCACCCATTTTCCTTCTGCACACTTGGAAGTGGTAGATCCTGCATACACACATCACTTAGCAACAAAGACTCTGCTGGTGGAAAGTGTCTTGCTTAGCGTGGCTTGCAAGCTTCTGAGAGGAACGGCGTTTCAAGGCATCTTGGGTCCAAAAGGAACCTAAAAAACAGCCTGTCTGGTCCCTGACGTCTTGTCTCTGTCACTCTGTCTTCTCTCTCTCTCTCTCTCTCTCTCTCTCTCACACACACACACACACACACAGACACACTCACACTCACAGCTCAGAAGCTCAGATGCACTTAGGCTGTACTCTGCTCCAGGTGGCTCGAGGAACCACCGAGAATCTCTGTGTCTTCTTTATATTCAGCCCCTTCTCTCTTGTGTGATTTTAAGGGGACCTTCACAGAATTCCAGGGTCCCCAATAGTTTGCATCTGTCACAGTTTGGAGTTATTCAAACTCTGGGCCAGTGATTTGTTCTAAAACATTTTCCCTTCAAAACAAACAAACAAACCAACCTCTAAACGCAATTATGGTAGTTGGAAGAGGCAACCACACCCGGGAAGAAGGCATCATCACTTTACGTTGGATTCTATGCACGTAGCTTTGCCGTTTCTTCCTGGAAGCGAAGAGCCCGCGGCACCCGGGGGAGAAACACTGTGGGAAAGTGGCGAGGCCCTGGGCAGGCTGGTGCTGCGGACAGCCTCCTGCTCAGGGCCGGGTGGGCAGCCAGGGGGCAGTGTGGGCGCATCAGACCCCCGGTCACAGACACACACACACACTTGACCTCATGCGCAGCCTCACCACAAAACCCGGAGGATGCAGATTTGGACGGTGTGGAGAAATGGTTGGAGAGAGATGACGTTCACAGTGGGGAGCGGACCTGAGCGTTTCACTAAAAACTCAACAAGTAAAAACTGAGGAAAGACGAAATAAGCTAAAACCCTAAAATGAGCAAACTGAAAACCAAAAATATGTAAAAATTCTCTTTAGTGATCAAATGCCGTGTGGCCTTTCACCTCCTGCTCTCCCCCGCCCTCACTGGAGTGTAGAACACGGGTTTTCACGCGGGTGAGCGAAGGGAAGCCGCGTCAGTGCGTGGGGGGAGGTTGTGGAAGACTGCTGTTCTGCGCAGTCGTTGTAAGTGTGCTGTTGATTTCTGACGTGCCGCAGAACCGTAAAATCCCATCACTTCAACAGTTGATTCGTAACTTTACCTTTTCCTCTATTTTAGGCTCTTTCATCTACCTCCAAAACAGCTTTTCTAAACTATGAAACAGCCATTTAGAGTGTCCAGTATTGCTTGTCTTCCCAGAATAACCAAAATGAGCTGTGTTTGCTTATATCCGTAGATCTTTACTCAGGCCTCTGCCGAAAGCAAGCCTCCCCTCTTTCGAGAGCTAGAGCAACAAAGCGCCGGAACCCGTGGGCGCTGAGGGTACACGGCTGGGTCATCTCTGGCTCCGGGCCCCTGTGAGCCACGTTACCATGGTGTCGGCCTCATTGGGCTTTTCATTCAACAGACAGTGGACCCCAAGTGCAGTCTGGCCACTAGGGAAACAGCAGCAGACAAAACAGACAAAACAAACCCCTGCTCGCTGGGAGCTTACATTCTGCAGGAGAGAGACAGACCATAAACACACACACAAAATCAGACAACGGTACTGTATGTTCGAAGGTGAAAGTGCTGTAGAGAACATTAGAACAGTGCAAAGTGGGTGGCAGTGCGGGAAGAAGGGAGGGCGCGATTTTGAGTGGCGCGGTAGGTCTCACCAAAAAGGTAGACTCGAACAAGGCCTCGAAGGAGGTGATGTGAGGAGCCCTGCTCGGCATACGTGGCGTAAGTGTGCCTCCCAGGCAGAGGGAGCAGCTGGCGTAAGGGCTGTGAGCTGGAAGTATGCTGGGTGGGTTCAAACAAAAAAAAAGGAAGAAAGGAGTTCAGCGTGGCTGGACCTCTCCCATGAATGACGTGGAGAGTAGCAGAGGGTGGGGTCCATTGAGAAAGGCCTCTGGACCACTGCAGGACTTTGACCTTAACCGTGGGGCATGGTGTTGCCGGGCAGCACCGAGTGTTGAGCACTCAGTGACCACACCCCCTGTTAAGAATCCCTCTGGCTTCTGTGTTGAGAACCAGGCATTAGGCATGAAAACAGAGGCCACAGAGTCAGCCACTGCCAGAGCGAAGTGAGAGGTCATGGTTGCGTGGACCAAGGTGGCAACAATGGGAGCGGTGAAAAGACAGTGACTTTTGAACACACGTTAAGGAGGAGCATCAGCAGCGCTTGCTGAGAGAAAGCGGAACCAAGCATTTGGGCTTACGCACTCGGACCTGCGGGACTAAGAAGGGGAAGACTGTGGGTGGAGGCCGGTGCTAAGTTTGAGCGCCCACGGAGACATCCAGGGGGAGCTGTGGAACGTGTATGTCAGAAACATGTATGAGTCTAGAGTCGGGAGGCAGGTCCAAGCTGGCAGTGCCCAAGGGAGGCGTCAAACTAGAGTGGAATTGGAGGCAAGGAGATGGGACAGCATCACGGAGAGTTGGGGTTCTGGAGACAAACTGCGGCAGACTACTCGGGGCCAGCACTCGCTGGCCGAGTAACGTTGGGAAATGCATTCAGCTCCTCTGAGACTCAGGCGCCCTGTCTGTAACAGGAAAAGGTGGTGGTAAGCACTTCACAGGGTTAAATAAAACTCGTTAGAACCAGTAATATCTGTAAAGCCCCTGGCACAAGGCCTCCGCCTCCCAACTGCTGACTGTTCATTTTCAGCACAACTGTTCTGTGCACCTGCGGGCGTCCCCGAATACTGGCCTTGGCCCACACGGTGTTGACGCCAGAGTGTGGTCTCTCTCCCTGTGGTGTTAACTGTGTTGTTGGTTTGTGACTGTTCACTGGGTCTAGGAGTTCCGCTGAGTTGGTTTTGCTTCCAGAACCAAACTGACCTGACTTTATTTATTTATTTGGAGAGAAAAATTTAAAATTATTTATTTATTTTTAGAGAGTGGGGAGGGGAGGGAGAAGGAGAGGGAGAGAAACATCAGTGTGTGGTTACCTCTCACACGCCCCCTACTGGGGACCTGGCCCGCAACCCAGGCATGTGCTCTGAGTGGGAATTGAACCTGCGACCCTTTGGTTCACAGGTCGGCACTCAGTCTGCTGAGCAACACCAGCCAGGGCTGCCTTGGGATTTTGACAGTAGCTCTGCCCCAGCTGTTGATACATTGTTCAAGCCCGTGTGTATTTTAGCGTCTGTGACTTGTTTGGGAAAAGCCTTACCTACCAGTGTCTTCAGCGCTCCTCTCCTTTGCTTTCCTCAGTGCTCAGCAGCGGAGCAGCCAGGTTCACAAGAAAAACACAATTGGAAATCAGGTAGGACTCGCTCAAAGAACCACTGCATGCATGCGCCCGAGAGCTTTTGCTTTGCTGACTATTTTTTTTAAATGCCAATTAATCGTATGCAAATTTTGTTGGAAACGCAGCTTTCCTTTTTGTTTTGTTTTGGCTTTTAAAGTTTTCAGAGCAAATCGCATTTTTTCTTTCTGTTGCTCTATTGTGCAGTTAACCTGATCGATTTATTTTCAATAACTTTTCTGCCATTTGCTCTGCTTTTCCAAGCTGACTCCTTGTGTCCTACTTTGCTTGCTTACAATGCCAGCAAATTTTGATTTCACATCAAATCTGTGAGTCAGTGCAGGTTTAAAGTACGGTGAGTAGCTGCATGGGCTTTCTGATGCTGCTGACTAGTTCACACGTTTGCACAGCTTGGTAACAGTGAAGGGCTCCCAGGGAAGGCGGCGCTTGCATTTCATCGCCGCCACACCAAATTCCTGTTGGTTGACGAAGACCTTGTTGATCTCTCTGAAGAGCTGACCTTCAGAGCTTCTGCGTTTTGGGCTGACCCCGCTGCCTCTGACCAGTAGTGCTCCGCAGAGCTCGCGTTAACTCCGAACAGTCTGCTGTTGTGTTTACGTCTCACGCGATAATGAGTATTTACATGCCTTGTTATTTCTTTTCGAGTCAAAACAATGATGACTTCTTCATTCATTCTTTTTCAATTCAGAGGTACAATTATTGAACAAATTGAAACCTCTGCTCTAAATCTTTTTTTTTCCATTGTTTTGAAAGGAGAAGAGGTAATAACAGACTTGATTTTAAAAACTTTTTTTCTGAACTAAAGCATATAATTCTTTGCTATTTCAGGGAACCAATCTTCCGCCTTCAAGGCAAATTGTACGAGCTAAGTTCTGTAAGCTTTAGTGTTGCTTTTTCATTCAGCTTCCCACGGCACAGTTTGTCTTTTAACTGATTAACTCGACTAGCGCTTGCTACTAATTTTTTTAAACTTAGGTTGTCTTGTCCATAACACCTTATCATTGAAATAAAAATCCTCCTAAGAGGGTTCATCCCTTCACTGCTAATAACTTGCTGTGATTGAAAGGTATGAACTAGTAAACTCTAAAACGCTGTAGTAATAAACCCTTAACATTGTGGGTGCTTCAATATTTCTCTAATTTTAATGGGCCTTAAAATAATTAAAATCATTAATGATCTCCATCTCTGTCCTTTTATGCTGTGTTGTTACATGGTGTATGCTTTTGTATGATACTGTTTCCGATAAATGTCGATGATGCTTCTGAAAGGTGGGTGAATATTGAACAGCTGATTTGTTGTATTTGTTGATAAGCCTTCCCAATTCTGTGTATTTGTTTTGAAAGTAATAAAATGAAAACAGAATTACATTGATTGCAGTTTTACATGGTTTTACAGTTGAATCTTTTAAAAACTAGATATCCTATCTTCATTTCATGGAAGTGTAAAGAAAGATACTGTGAAATTTCTAGCATAGTGATGTTTTTGAAAAATGATTACACTCTCATTTCCACTGTGGATGAAGCAGCCTTAAAGCCCTCCTTCCCACCGTGCATGAGTCAGGGATGAGATGGGCACCTGGGCCACTTATCTGCCCCATGTCGTTTGGACAAAACAGACTTTGGAGGTAGACATCCTTTAGTTTAATTTCTCATCTGTCAGTAGCCATACATCCTGGGACAGAGCGAGCCTGAATTGGCTCAGTTGTGCGAGGGGAAGAACAGAAAATCTCTCCGCAGGGCGATTGTGAGGATCTGGTAGGATGTACACAGTGAGGTTTGTGGCTGGGTGCTGGATGGACGTGGAGGTGCCTTGTAAAGAGCAGACACCTTGCTCCCAGCAGGTAGGTGCTGCGGCTCGAAACTTTTGGGAGAAAGCACGTCAAGTACAGGAAAATAATAAAAGTTATGAAATGAGAAGAGTGAAACACTTTGGAAAGATCAGAAGCTCTGACAAATTACTCAAAAGACTGCAGTGTCCAGATTAAGGCTGGTGTGATGTGAAGCAGTGGTCCCCAACCTTTCCCCACGGACCTGGGGAGGGGGGTCAGGAGGCAGAGCTCAGGCCATAATGGGAGCGAAGCTTCGCTGACTCCCTGGCCCCTCTCCTCCGTCTGTATGGCCCGGTTCCTCATGGGCCATGGACAAGTACCAGTCCGCTGCCCTGGTGGTAGGGGACCCTTTATGTAAAGGATTTGCCCATGAAACTTGCCTTGTGGTCAGAAGCATCTCTAACTCACGGAAGTGTATCTTTATTGGAAAAGCAATAATATAACGGCATAAATGCATATTTTAAATCAGATCTGAACGAAAACTCTGAACCAGTTTTTAATTATATTACTTCCAAATGCTCAAATCATGCTAATGTGTTTTTGTGACTTGACTTTTGCTGAGTACTTCAAAGCCCACACATATGAAAGTTTTATAACTCCAAAGATAATAGAATTGGGTGAGTGTTTTAATAGGATACAGATACTTTATCCAAGCCCCTCGGGTCTCGTTATGCCTTGAAGGTCAGAATGTTTGGATTCTAGAAAAACCCCACATTGCATGTACCGTATAGTACCCGGCATTACTGTGGGGTCAGAGGCAGCACCCTGTAATTAAACACATTATTTTTCTGTAGTGAAACAAATGAATACTTACACCAGATTGAGTCAATGAAAGATATAAATACTTTCATGGCAAGTCAGGTTTTGCTGCCAGATTTATTTTTTAAAAAACCTTTTTAATTTGCAAGTGATGGATTATGAACCTAGATATCTTATTTTTCTGGAATCAAATACAACAGTTAAATACAATACAGTCTACTTTAAGGAATCCTGTCTTGTTTTTTTATTCCTTTGTAGCAGAAATGAGCCATAATGACTTGAAACCATTTGTTTTATGAATCTGAGTGTCTGATGTTGGTTTGGTTTGCGTTAAAGCAGCTTTGCCAGTGAAGAGGCCCAGGGCCAGGCAGCCTTGGGGCCCAGATGCCGACAGATGCCGGCTTTTATGGTCGGTGGCCTCAGAGTCCTGCAGGGTCCTAGCAAGTGGCCCATCCATCCTAATACCCTCTAAGGCCTCTGGTTGTAAGAGATCACTGTGCAAGGTCTGTACTGAAGTATGTTAGAAGGATTTAAGGAAGGCAAAACTCTTTGAAGTCTCAATTCCACTCGCTGTTATCTGCCTAGAAATTTCCTTAGAAGTTTTACAAGTTGATGTCGGCAAATGTACAAAGATAACGTGGGTGCACAATCAGCCTCAGGTTGGACTGATGGGAAATTCAAATTGAAGCTTAAACTTCTTTCATCCCTTCACTCATCACACATGTGCCAAAATCTGTGGGAAGGGTTTGCGGCAGTGGTGAGCAGACCCCAGCCCTGCCCTCAGGGAGCTCCCAGCCCAGCGGGGATGCTGGAAGGAAGCAGACTGAATTCTGCCTCCGTTTTCCAGGCTGGTTCCTTCTTACTGCAGGCTGGTCCTGCAGTTCACACTGAAACGCCATTTCTGTGAGAGGCTGGCCGTGAGCCTGCACCTGAAGTCACTGCCCCCTGCCCCCCAACTCCAAGGTCTTGCTATTTATCTTATTTATTAGTTTTCATCTTACTTCTCTAGGACCTAAGCTCCACCTAAGATATCTGTATGGTGTTAACAGCAGCAGAATGTCTCTAAGGTTTTAGGCATGATCCTATGAATGTTTTAGAAAGCTCATTCTGCCTCTAGTGTGGAGAAAGATCGGAGTCAGGACAAGGCTAGAAAAAGGAGACCGGTCAGGAGGTGAGGGTGAGCTGGGCCAGGCTGTGTGCAGTGGGTCTGAGGAGAAGCTTATGAGTTGGGAGAACTAAGGAGGAAGAGTCCAAAGGACTGACATGTCATGAGCTGCGTGGTAGGGAGACGTCGGGGGATCATTAGCAGTGCGGTCCTGGTGTCTGAGTTAGGCGCTGGTGAGACGGTGGTGCTCTTCAAGGGAAAGGGAACAGGGTGAAAAATCCAGGTTTGGCCTCGGGGGAGGATTTGTTGACTGCGAGTCACTCTGGGAAATTGGAGTGAACATGTCCAGTGGGAAGTTGTATAAAAGTGTCTAGAGTTCCAAAGAGACAGAACTGAGTCCAGAGGTGGTCTGGAGCCAGTGAAGGATTTCCAGTAGAGAACAGATGTCATCTGATTTGTGTAGTAGAAAGATCTGTGTGCCAGCCCTACCAGTAAAACTAGAGATACAGAAATTGGGACTTTCGAAGTGACTCAGGTAGGAAAATACAAATGTTCATGGCAGGAGTTTATTTAATTGGAGAGTGTCACATCATCCACCCCCCCCCCCAGGCTATGGCTAAGGGACCCACTGTTGGGAGTACAGATGAAGGAGCAGATCTCAGGGACAATGGGAGAAAAGGTGGTGACTTCAGTTTTGGATATATTTTTTGTGCCTATTTGTGACATCAGCAGAGTTTGAAGTTTAAGACCTGTCTAGACTGGAGATGGGCATTTCACAGTTGTCCTTTGTGTACCTGGTTGCTAAAGCCACAGGAGTAGATGAGATCATGTCCAGAGGATGAAGTCATAGAAGGAAGTCTGGGATTCAAAGGATGATGGAGAAAGAAGAGTTCAGAAAGATGAGAAACCGAAAAGCAGTCTAGGAAGTGAGGAGAGAGGTAGGAAAACTTGGTGAGCAGTAGAGTGAATGCCAAGGGGGAAGAGAGAACATTTCAAGGAGGGAATGGTCCAGTAGTATTGGGTGTTTCCAGAAACATTTGGGAAGTGCTTCTGTAGGGGAGCTGGTGGAAGGTCCCGTGCAGTGTTGGGGACTGAGCTCAGATCAGTCTCCTTGGTCTCAAGAATCGTTCTTCTGCTCTACAGCTGAAAGGCAGCGTGAAGTGGAGGAAGCAGACCAAGAAATTGATATCCTGAGCTGGCTATCAGTGGAAATTTATATCAATTTCCAGGGAGGCAGCATGTAAGGTCAAGTTTTGAAGAGAGAGAGGTTGAAGTAAAGGATTGTGTAATCTGCTGTGAATGGTTTTCTTTGATGTATTAGTGAGGATGGGTCAGCCAAGTAACAAACAGCCCCAGAATTTCAGTTGCCTGCTCTAACATCAGTTTCACTCCATCTGCTCCGACCCTCCAGTGAAGGACGTCGGCCAGGGCAGCCCCGCTTCACGTGGTCAGGCGGGGACTCTGGGATGCCCTTCATTCTTCCAGCAGGTGGGAGAGGGGAGGACGCTCGAGTGACGGAGGTTGTCAGGGGCCAGCCCAGCAGTGACACACCACTTTCATTCCCATCCCCACCAGTGTCACTCAGTGGTTTGGGCCCACCGAACCACAGGGAACAGGACTGTAATCTGAGTTTGTGCCCAGGCACGAGAAAATACGAAAGATGGTGTTGACCGAAAGTGGAAAGGAAGTGGGCAAGTCAGGACGTGGGAGGGGCTTACTGAAGTTAGGAAGTAGGTACCAGGATTAAGGCGAAGAGCGGGCAGGGTTGGCGGTGTCAGAGGCAAGGGCGTGACACCCCCTGGAGGGTCAGAGATGCTTCTGGGACAAGAGGGAGCAGACAGCGCAGGAAGGGCCACAAGTGGTAGTAGCTACAGGCGTTCCCGGAGCATTGTTGGTCTTCAGAGAAACTCGGATGGAATTTCTGGACTTGAATATGTCAAAGGCCAGGTTGTCCCACGGCCGGGAGGACTGATGCGGCATTTCCACGACGGGTCCTCTGCTTCTCAGCTGTGAGACCCCGGGGAGGGAGGCCCAGCCGACGAGCTCCCGGGCCCCCATCTGTGTGCCTGCTACTGCTCTGATGGAAGCTCGGAGGGTGAAGCTTGGCTCTCCCCAACCTGTCATCCTCAGACAACCATCTCGAATCGTAGGCTTCAAGCAGAAAAG